GAGTCGGTGCCTCGCATGGGCAGAAATCCAGGCAACAATTCGCTGCAGCACGTCTGCAAGCGTGGCGCGCCGACCGGGTGTGCGGCGGTCGATTTGGGCGCGGCTGTTGTTGGTGTTGCGACCTCCGTCGGGTAGGGGGTAGGGGATCGACCACAGAATTGATGTGTAGCCCAGAATGGATTTTCTCTCCGAAGTTCGGAAACATACGTGGAATGATCTCCGAGCGTTCTACGCATTTCTTTTTCGTGCGTTCGACGAGGAAATAGATGTGGAGTGAACCAATTCTGTGAGTCGATCCCCTGCTCGACTCCTGCGGCCCCTCGTAGCCTCGCCGAAGCCGCGCCTAACCCGCGTCGTGTCTGTCAAAAAGGTGCCTATCTGCACTCGGTCGCCCTCGCAGGGCCCACATCGGCTCCTCCGACTCGGTTCGATTTCGGTTTCGGTTTCGGTTTTGGTTTCGGTCGATGCCGTCGGTGGCAAATCATGGGAGCCCTGTATACACACTGTGCATGACCCAGTGTTCGAAAGTTCTTTGAGTTTTCGGGGGCCTGGATCCTTTCATTTCTAACTGTTTCATCCTGGGCCTCTTCCTGGCCACTACGGTGCCAGGAACACTGAGAAACGAACACAATTAGAAGTGAGCACGATTAGAACTGAACGACGTGTACCCTCGCAGCTCCGTCTTTGGCGTCGATCAGCATCGATCAGCGTCTGGGAGTGGATCAGACCGCGCCAGCTTAGCACCGATTTAGCGTCGATTTGGCGTCGACTGGCGTCGATTCGCAAGAGCCGACAAGATGGTAATCATAGGAGGCTCCCATGAGCTGCCGACGAAGATGCCGACTCCGATTCGATTCGGCTTCGGATTCCGATCCGGATCTCGGCCTCTCAATTGGAGCCCTTCCTGGCACGCCGTCCGCCGACTCGTCTGCCGCTCTCCGCCGATGCGGTTCCTCTCGACAGCCGGGCGGACTGCATGGGCCCGATTGCCGGGCTTTCTCTGCCCTTGTCCCGTCGTGGGAGCCACGAGAGAGAGGGCGGCAACACACCGCGGGGGCCAAGGTCCGCCACGGAAGAGTGACACAGATGCCCTGCGATGGATGGCTCGTGGGCCTCAGGGGATTTGTACGCCCGAAATGGGCACGGGAAGAATGGGTACAAGGCCCAACAACAGGTGTTGTCCCAAACCAACAGAGGCCGCTGTTGGGCAGGCGGCCTTCTGTCTCAAATCGACACAGGCCGCGGCGGCGTGGACAGCGAGTCCTGTTCAAAATGAACAAGAACTGCTGTTGGGCATTGTGCCCATTCTTTCCGTACCCATGTCGGTCGTCCCGAGGGGAGGGTGGCGGTGTACAGATCACCCCCACATCTCATACATACACCGCCACCCTCAAAGGTACATGCGAAGTTCGTCGGAGGGCGCCTGTGTGTATATACATATAACGGCGCACCGGGTCCGGGGGCCCGGGGCCGGGACCTCTACCACAAATGTGCGCCCCGGGGGGCCCGGAGGCTCGTCGGGGCTTGCCGGAGGCCTCCCCAGTCAGACAAGACGGCCCAAGAAGCGCCCAAGACGGCCCAAGAAATTTCCAAGAGGCCTCCAAGAGGGCTCCGAGATGCTGAAGATGGCCTCCAGACGTCCAAGGAGGCCCCCAAGAGGCCCCAAGAAGCCTCCAACATGCGTCCCAAGAGGGCCCCTAGACGCAAAAATTGGCCCATTCCCTTCGTAAAACGTACATTTTCAACAAAGTTGTCTTTTGGGCTTTCCGACGTTACAGGACGGCCCAAGAGGCGCCCAAGACCGCCCCAAGACGGCCCAAGAAGCTTCCAAGAGGGCCCCAGGACAGCCCAAGAGGGCCCCAAGACGGCCCAAGAGGCGCCCAAGATGGCCCAAGAGGGCCCCAAGACGGGCCCAAGAGGGGGCCCAGAGGGGGACCACGAACCGCAAGCTCGAGCCTTCCGCCCCAAGAGGCCGCCAGGAGGCCCCCAGGAGGCCCCTCAAGAGGCCCCAGGAGACCCCAGACGTCCAAGGACGCCCCCAAGAGGCTCCAAGAAGCCTCCAACATGCGTCCCAAGAGGGCCCCTAGACGCAAGAATTGGCCCATTCCCTTCGTAAAACGTACATTTTTAACAAAGTCGCCTTTTGGGCTTTCCGACGTTACAGGACGGCCCAAGAGGCGCCCAAGACCGCCCCAAGACCGCCCAAGAAGTTTCCCAGAGGGCCCCAGGACAGCCCAAGAGGGCCCCAAGACGGCCCAAGAGGCGCCCAAGATGGCCCAAGAGGGCCCCAAGACGGGCCCAAGAGGGGGCCCAGAGGGGGACCACGAACCGCAAGCTCGAGCCTTCCGCCCCAAGAGGCCGCCAGGAGGCCCCCAGGAGGCCCCTCAAGAGGCCCCAGGAGACCCCAGACGTCCAAGGACGCCCCCAAGAGGCCCCAAGAAGCCTCCAACATGCGTCCCAAGAGGGCCCCTAGATGCAAGAATTGGCCCATTCCCTTCGTAAAACGTACATTTTTAACAAAGTTGTCTTTTGGGTTTTCCGACGTTACAGGACGGCCCAAGAGGCGCCCAAGACCGCCCCAAGACGGCCCAAGAAGCTTCCAAGAGGGCCCCAGGACAGCCCAAGAGGGCCCCAAGACGGCCCAAGAGGCGCCCAAGATGGCCCAAGAGGGCCCCAAGACGGGCCCAAGAGGGGGCCCAGAGGGGGACCACGAACCGCAAGCTCGAGCCTTCCGCCCCAAGAGGCCGCCAGGAGGCCATCAGGAGGCCCCTCAAGAGGCCCCAGGAGACCCCAGACGTCCAAGGACGCCCCCAAGACGCTTCGCGTCACCAATTTCTTCTCGCAACGATTCCTGGGTCTGTGACTCGACAGAACCTAAGCGCGCGCGAAGCGCGCGCGTGGTTCTAGTATATACATACATATATATATATATATATATATGTATACATATATGTATGTGTATGTGTGTATGTGTATGTGTGTATGTGTGTTTTCGTGGCGTGCAAGGGCATCCGAAGAAGACCGTCCTTATCGTGCCACCCCCTCGTGAGCGCCGCCAACAGAGGGGCCCCGGGGTCCGAAAGCGCCCCGGCCCAAAGGATGAGCTTAGTGATGGAGGAACGCCCGGGCCGAGCATCGAGCCTCCTCGGATGTCTGCTTTCGGCAACGCGCAGAGGGGGGCAGGGGGAGGGGGGAAGGCTTCTTAGAAGGCACCCCTGCCTCTTAGAAGGCGCGGGCCTTCTCTATAGACGTAAGGCCGAGGCCTTCCAAGAGGCAGGATGCTTCTAAGAAGCCTTCCCCCCTCCCCCTACCCCCTTTTGCGCGCCGCCAATGCGATGTCTGCTTTCGGGGGCGGCAAAGAGGGGGGTGCTGACTAGGGGGGGGTGGATATCATGGTGGGGGCCATGATATTTCCCCAGATTTCACGCCGCCTCTTCTTATTTCATTGCGTCCCTGGCCCCCCCGCTGGGCCGCGCACATGCCGCCGGTCATGATTTGCCCGCCCCCCTTCTTGGACACCCCCCTCTTGGCCGCTCCCGATGCTTGGCACGACCGAAGTGGGAACACAAGACCGAACCCAGTTCTGGAACCGGACGCTGGAATCGGTACGAAGTCCGGGCAGGATGCGAACGAGGAACGAGAACGAGTGTCTTCGGATGTTTGCTTGTCGACCGGCGGCGACCCAGAGTCGGTCGATGTTGAACGATCTGGCATGTCGGAGACAACCGATCGTTCAAGATTGAACTGTTCCCGTGGTGTCAGGAAGCATTCCCGAGGTCGACACGACACGAACCCGCGGTATGAAGACCGACACCAGTTTCTGTTCAATTTGAAGCGGACTCATTGACGGTTTCGCTGAGGATGTGGCCAGTTGAGACAAAACGTTGCTTGCCAACCAACGGCTGCTGCCTGTTTCGGGCGCAGCATTTGCTGTTCGGTGTCGTACCCATGCCTCTTTCCGTGCCCCCCTCTGGCGTGCTATTCTGGAGGTGATGATGAGTCGAGGCAAGAGAACTGTATAGACACAACACACACACACTCGACGGTCCGAGCGAATTTTTGTTTGGACCAGCGTTGGACCTCTCCTCCCCGGCGCGCGGAGCGCGCCAGGAGCGGCGCTGGAGACGCCGCCGGGGGGGGTCAGCGCATATCCGAGACATCCGCGCGCACCGTCGAAAGATGATGCCTATGCCCCTGGCTTGCCTTAAGAAACGCCCGTTTTCGACTTTGGGTTCTCGACAGGCTGAAGACGCTAAAACAACGTTTTTGTGTTGCGTTTTTAGGGCAGTTGTTCTGGTGTTTTTTTGGCGTTGTGTGGGCGTTGTTTGTGCGTTTTCAGGCTGAAAGCGCCAAAACAATGTTTGAACACTCTACAATGAACGCATCAGTGTTTTAGCTTTTTTTGTTTTTTGTTGAGACCAGGCAGCGCGGAAAAACATGATGTCCAAGACGCCGAGCTGAACACGCCAACAAAAAACGCCCTGGGCAGATTGCAGGCGAACCAAGCCTCTGCCGCGTCTGCTTCCTCTCCATATCCCCCTTTCGGGCGTGCCATTCTGGATGTGGTGATAATGTCCGCCCCGCCCTCGGGCGACGAAGTCTGTACACGTCCACTGCTCCCTGGCCAGGCCCGTCCTGATCCCAGGAGATGTGTACAGAGTCCGGCTCGAATAAGGAGCACTTGCTTTTCAAAAGGGGCTCGGCCGTTCCTTTGGTTTGCATGCGTTCCGCTACCTTTTTGGCGGCGAGCCCCCCTGGTGTTCCTTCGGACTTTCCAGATTTACTTGGAAGAAAAGGGGCTTCGTTCCTTCTTTGTCGTTCCTCAGTTCAGGCCGAGTACTGTATACGACCTCCTGGCCAAGCCAGGGGTGTGGTGTATACACCGCTGCTGGTATCAGGATGGGCCTGGCCAGAGATCAGCGGAGATGTAGATATAGTTCGTCGCCCTGCGCCCAGCCCCGAGGCTCCACCTTCCTGAGGGCCGCCTCCCCCTCCGCCAG